GTGGGGGAGGAGTGTGAGGATGTTGAGAGGTGGGGGAGCAGTGTCAGGATGTTGAGATGTGGGGGAGCTGAGGCCCGGGGCGAACGCACCCCCCGCCCCCCCGGTAGTTACGCCACTGATTTTGTATGCTTATTGCCATGAAGGAGGGGGCTATCAGTAGTCACAGTGCTGATAACCCTCCTCCACCACTGAGCAGGGTGACAATGCTATTTTACCTGTAGTGAATTAACTGCAGCGTTGCCGCCCTGCACAGCTGTGTCCTTACATCTGCTAAGGAGGAAGGTTATCAGCTGGAGGAAAGCCTGTGGATTAAGAAAAGGAGAGTCACATACTGAAAAGGATTTTTTCTAATTTTCTATTCTAATTTAAATATAGATAGGAAAAATCTGATTGGTTGCAGTTTTATGTACCTTGTTCTTAGGTTAGGCCACCATTTAAAAAAAAAAAAGTCTAAATCTCTAAATAATATCAGGAACTGTTCCTATATTTTTGAATAATCCCCAATGAATTATGTTACCACATTACCTATTATTATTCAGGTTTTTTTTTGTTAATGAAAAATAAATTGCAAGACAGAAAAAGTGTTTATGTAACAAATGGCATGTGTCAGATTTGTGTCTTACAGTTTGTTTTCTTTAAAAAGCAGCCTCAGTCCGAGTATAAAAGCCTGTCCCTTGCCACCATGCTGCAGAGAAGGACCCTTACTCTGTGCATGGAAGTAGTGGTCTTTATGCAGAGGTCCAACATGTCCCCTGCTGAATCAGAGCTAGATTTCTTTAACAGTGGAGAGCTTGAACTTTTCTGACTGCAGAGCTATAGGTCTGACTCAGCAGGGGGCGTGCTGGACCTCCACAGAGAGACCACCACTTCCACACAGAGGGCAAGGGTCTGTCTCTACACCATGCTGGCAGGAACCAAGGGACAGACTTTTGTACTGAGGTTGTGACTGCTTTCTAAAGAAAACAAACTGAGATGTGTTTGCTTTGATGCACCTGGAATGTATTTAGCTGATTCAACTCAAAGTTCAATTGAGATTTAAGTACTTCCCCTGGCAATCTCTTCTTGTAACTTTTGATGCGGTTGCATGTCAGGATTGATATCAGTTAGGAATTCTCTAACATGAAGACAGGCAATAGAATGAGGAGCAGTGGGACCCCAATTTTTCTGCTGTGTAATCTTACAACCCTTTGGGGCTTTAGCCTCCCATAGGATTGCCTTCCATTCTTTTTTGTTGAATATTATGTTTCTCCACCTTATCAAATGTAAACATTTTTTTCTGCTGTTTTGGGATCTTCTTCTTCCCTATTTTCTTCGCCTCTCAACCCTTTCAAAAAAGACTTGGGGGGTTATTCACTAAAGAGCCGAAGGATCCAGCCACAGCTTCGGCTGATCCTTCGGCTCTCTTCGGCCGCCTGAGCCCTT